GGGGGGGGGGGCAAGGTCACGGCAAATCCACGTAGAATGAAGGGCACAATTTACCTGTATCAACAACATTTCACATGAGGGCTGGCACGGCTGACGATTCTCCCGTACCATAGGGGGAGGGGGGGGGGGCATGCGTGCGCTAGACTCACTGCTTGCGCCAAGGCCACAATCCAACACCCACCAACTGCTGCAACAAGCTTATCTCGCCCGCCTCAACCACCCACCTCCACCTCAGCCGCACGGCCCCTTGGCTCCGGAGGCCGCAGGCCTGTGGCCATCTCCATGCTGGTCGTGCCGGAAGGGGAGATGACCGGCTGCTGGTGCTGTCGGTGCTGTCGCCGCTGCTGTCGGCTCTGGTGCTGTTGCTGTTGCTGCTCCTGTCATCATTAATCCATGTGCAGACAAAAACCAGCGTACGGGTCCAACCCGGAACAATACAAGCAGTTGGAATCATCTCCACATGAGGGTTTCTACGTTGTGGTGTTACGGACATTGACATACCCTACGACAGGCCAGCTCCGGCCAACCGTTTCGAAATACAACACCCCCTGCTCGGAATTTCCACGTCCCCCTTCGCAGCCTCACCTCGACGTATTCATCGCGGCCGTCGATGTCCATGCCCGACGCCTGCTGCTGCTGATACTGCTGCCGCTGGTAATGCTGCTGCTCCTCTCGCTCTACCGGGGTCATACTCGACCCTATCCCCGACGACACCTCCATCTCCCGCGGAGTGAAGCGGACGCTGGAAGGGGTCGGGCCAGCCGCCCCGGCGTGTGTTGTACGGGGATCCGACACGTCCGCTCCCGGGTTGATGGTGAGCGCGTCCGTCGCGTGGGCACGTCCCTACAGCAGTAGCGCGTGGAGCAGCAGTTCGTGTCAAGGTCAAGGTTTCATCATTGCATCAGGTGGGGTGAAGGCGCGCAACAGTGCAGAAGAAGCATCTATTTATAGTGGGTGGAAAACACATCATGGAGGGTAACGCGACGAAACAATCGCCTTTCGTGGGTGTGCATCGTTTTTGCGGACAAGTAGTCTCCCAGGGGCTCTCTCTTTTCTACTGCTCAGTGAACGTTGTGTTTGCTATGAAACTATTCCGATATCTGTTCAGAAACTTTAAAATCCGCAGTACTTCTACGCGGGCCCCTTCCCGTCGTTACAGGCTACACATACAGTAGTAACTAGCCCGAAGGGGTATACAGAATGAAAAACAAAAAAGGGTCCCGAAGAATCAATTCATAGAAAAGCGGCGGTTGAGGTCACACTACATAACAAACGAGAACGAGTCATGCCAACGAGAACAACGTACAGCAGTACGGAGAGACTACTCAATCATGTCGATTGACAGCAGTAATGCCACTCACCGAAGAATCAATTCATACAAACGCGGCGGCGGTTGAGGACACACTAAATAACAAAACAGAAAGAGTCATGCCAACGAGAACAACGTACAGCAGTACGGAGAGACTACTCAATCGTGTCGATTGACAGCAGTAATGCCACTCACCGGCTGAGTCAATTGCTGAGCTACCGGCGTGTCAGGCTCGTATCCAGGGTATCCCTTGTATCCGTGGAAAGACTCCGACTGTCCATGCGGCCTCGCAGACTGCAGAAAACGACAAAACAGAACATGGGTGGGATGGGATGGGGGTGGGGGGGTTACGAATGTAAAGGTAGGTAGTGGCGGGCATTCCCGTCCGCTGCTCCTCCTGTATCACGTCTGCTCACACATCATAATCATTATTTTTAGCAAAGACACTGGGCAACGTTCTTGACAACCGCGTTGCTCAGTAACACATGTTGATTCATCTCTCTCCCTGTGCTTTGCCTTCGTTTCCAAGGTTGTTTACGGTTTCCTCTAATATGTCGTGTTTCCATCCCGTTACACTTACACGCCCGCATCCTACAACGAGAGACGTTCTAACATCGATCTCCCATCACCATCATCCACCACCAATTACGACATCTGTGGAGTTACAAATACAGAGTTTCCGGAAATTCACCGTTCAGCTTCGTCCGATTCTTCCGACTACGAGTTCGACTGCTGCGTTCCACACGCATCATCACTACCTGGTTCATTGGGAAACCTCGGAACGTTCTCAACATCAGGGCGTAAGGTCGAAATCTCGGCGTAGCCACGCGAACCGGGAGTTTGTTGCTGACAGCAGATGAAATGTGTGCCCAAACACATGTGCATAAATGGTGATCGAATCGTGTATACTACTGGCAACATACAAAACTGGAACACACGGTCGACCTTGGGAATACAGAAAGCTTGCGTGTTTCGGGCGATACTCAAAAGGGCAAGCACAGCGGCAGAGTAATGCAGCAACGGCACAAATTTCTGTATGGCCTTGCTCCTTTCTATGTGACTTAGGCCAGCTGGTGCCTCTACAAACACGCCGAATGATCTCCAAACAACGTCCAACAAAGTGGGATGCTTCATTTTCACATGACACGCACACGCACCACTTTCATAAACCAGTCGCTACAGGAGCGTTAGCGCGCGTCGATGCCAATCAAAGACGTAAACACTTTCCCCAGCGCAGCAATGACAACCTCCCCAGCGTCAGCAGCGTTATCACCCTTTCGGGACGACGACCCGACAGCAGAACCGCACCGCACCGCACCGCACCGCACCGCACCGCACCCAGCGCCACCGCCACATGCCAACGCCAACAACGGCGCCGCAGTCTCCATCTATCTTCACTCTTACCCAGAAGGGGGCGCCATCAGCTAGATAAAACACGGTGCCCCGAAGCCAAACCCTACCCACCGCATACCTACAGCAGTAGTTACGCACCTGCACCATGCGCTCCTGCCAGACGTTCGCATACAACAAGGTACACCGGAGGAACACAGTAACACCTCAACCCTAGGTGCACGTACAGTATCATACCTCCAGCATGCTCCCGTCTCTCGGGATAGACGTCACGCGCTGCTCCCCTCCCAGCCGCAGGCCCCCCGCCAGCCCCCCCCTCAGCCCGCTCCCGCTCGACCATATCTCCGCGGACGAATCTCCCGCGATTGCCCGGTGGCTCGACATGTTCTCCTTCGCCGAAACCGCCGCCACCGGGACCCCGGAACTTCCGTCGCTCCCGCCTCTGCCCGCCGCCGCAGCGCTGTACCCATCTTGGTCTTCTGGGCCCCCAGTCGGAGCGTCGCTCGAGGCCGGGGCCGCGGGGGCGGCTGCCGCTGGAGGTGCGAGGCTCGGCGCCCGGTACACCGACGGCGCGTTGACGGTGTAGGCGGAGGCAGACTTGGAGGAGGCGGCCTGCGCAGCAAAGCTTACGGGGGAGCGGGCGGCGCCCGAGGCGCGCTTGTCGTTGTCGCGCGAGTCCTCCACGAACAGCTCGCCGTCGGAGTCATCGTCTGCTCCGATTGGTGGGTTGGTTGACGATGCATCGGTTGGGCGGGGTTGGTCAGAGGCCGGCTTTCGAGTTCGGTCTGAGTACGCAGCCTAGCAAGTAAGAGACGACCAGGAGGCAGAGTACAAAACGCCCGCGGAGCGATACTGTTGCTTAAAATCGATATAACGAGGCGAGCTCGACCCATTGTAGACGAAACTTCGTGGTGCAAAATGAAAACAAAAGTGGAACCCTTTTGTCTGCTTTCTTCACCTCGTTCCAGCGCCACACACGCATTCTGAGAAAACACATTCCTTCAGCACAAAAAAGGACAAGCATCATAAAACTCTGAGATTCCTTTCGTTTAGCTGCCGATCCTAAGAATACTAAGGGCACCCCTTTCGAACACTACTGTACTTATCTCCATGTACAAGATAAATCACCAACTTATGCCCCAGTACTCTTTCTGCGCGCAAAGCGGCCGACACGTCTGGACCAATAATATGTCATACGCACACGCACGAGGAAAAAAACATCGGCACGGCAATTCGTTCCTTCGAGCGACAAGAGGCACTAGAACGAGCAAAAACAGTATCTAGGGGCGTGCGTAAAGTACAGTGCTTCCTGCTGTGTCTACAATCTTCAAAACAACAAAACCACTCAAAGGCCAGTCACTCACCTTCGACATCCACATCGTCGAACGACATGTAGGCGGAGGCAGCCTTGAGCCCCCTCGACGCGCGCTTGCTGAACTTCGTCTTCGGGACTGGCTTCGACACAGCCGCTGCCTCCGCCGCAGGCGCCGGTGCAGGCGCAGCCGATGGCTCAGTCATCGCCGCCGCCGCCGCCGCCGGTGCTGCCGCAGCAGGCGTCGATGCTGAAACCGTCGGCGCTGGCGCCGCTGCTGCATCCGCCGCCGCCGCCGCTGCCGCCGCTCGAGGTGCCGCCGCTTCGGAAGCAATGCTCGGGGTTGCAGTGGTTCCGTTGCCTCCCGCAAGCTGCTGCTGGGACCCAGGCTTGGAGGAGGAGGTGGCGGTTTGCAAGGCCCCTTGCCTGCTCCTTGTTGGTCTGAGAAAGGGGGGCACAGCAGACGAGAAATTGATCGAGGGTGAGTCATTTTTCGTGTTTTGTGTTGAATGCGGCCGCCGAAAAAGATCCTTTCCGGTTTGGTCCTGCAATCCTTTCGAAGGACTAGATACTGAGAGAGGTACTTCGGCCGGCCTTCAGGCCGGAAAAACGGCAGGTCTGAGTGGGCGATGCACGAAAGACGCGTGGTGACGGTGCTCCCCGGCGGGCAAGGATAAGGATAGGGATGCATGCATGCACGCTTTCGAGTTTCTTTAGAGCGAGGCGGACCAGATGCGTTCGGTACGCTTTGACTTCTTGGGCTTCGCGCATCTTCCTCTTCCTCGGAAATGCACCGGCAATATCCTTGGGATATTGCAACCAACTTTAACGTGGAGATGACAACAACAAACAACAAATTGGATACTGCTGAATGCGTGTGTCTTTGGTGTGTGTGTTTCAACCAAACATCATAGGACATGCATCATTGCATGGTATGATGAGTTCGGTTGTGGTATTCCAAAACTCATCAGAGATTCAAACCAAATATTTGGACGACACTCCGTGAAAAAACAGAAACTCGTATCGTACAGCCACGTATCACCCAGTGACGGAGGGGTCCCTGGTTAGTGCCGGTTGAATAATAGTGCCAACCAATGCCCGGGATAGTGCCGGTGTTTCCCGCGGGCACATCGAATGTTCAAGTTTTTGTCAGTACTTGGAGTAGTGCTGGTTCGGGTTAGAGCCGGCACTAAAAGCTGCTTCACGCAAGAAAAACAAAATTTGTTCCCGGCAAATCCTTCGTTCGGTTTTTTGGAGATGGGTCACCACATTTTGCACACTTGTCCGCAAGATCGATACCTAACTTTTCACGAGTTGGGTTTTTCGATTTTTTTTCCTACGCACCGAGTAATCGGGGTCCCGCACGTTCCTGGGACAGAAAGGCTGCGACGGACCCTGAATATTTGGCTAATAAACAGAAAAAATAGAAACTCCCCATTCGTAAAAGTTTGGTATCGATCTTGAGGACAAGCGTGCACAATTTGGTGACCACTCTCCAAAAAACCGAACGAAGGATTTGCTTCTTGTAACAGAACCTGCAATTTACTCCTTGTTTACTTGGATTTAGACCAAAGTGAGTTCTTTGAGCACAACTGTACTGTACGCTTGAATCGACCGCTCTTCCTCAGTTTCGCTCCTTGGGCAGCGAAACTTTGTACAATCCTTCTACACCCTACACCGGAGCCGACTGCATTCGATTTCCAAATTTTGAGGCATATTCACCGGCTTCCGGGGGTCCTATCCGTTAAACGATACGCCGGTAGGAGCGCGAAAACTTCGTGAATAGTGCTCAAAAATATTCGTCAGGATTTGTAGCATCAACGCCTGTCAACCTGCCAAATTTGGGGACGATCTAAGCTTTCCTCCGATATGTAATTTATGACGGAAACCGTTTCGACGCTGTCTAGGCAGTTGCTTCGTACATTCGGTGGCCATCTGACGGCGCCAAAGGGCCGTAACACCGGAAATCCCACCTCTTTGGGCGTAACTCGCTCCAACGGCGGCCGTTTTCAATTGTGTTTTTTCTTCTTGGGTTCCCTAGAGCTCGAAGGTCATTTGAGGTTGAACTATGGCCGACGAAGGTTCGTGCTGCACTGGTATTTTGAGTGGCTAATTATCGAACAGCGTGAAGGCCGTTGATTGGCGAAGACACATTTGTGCGCCTAACCGCCGCAGAAAGGTGCTATTGGAAATTCCAGCTTGGGCACTGCTGTTGTAGGCTTAGCGTAGGGGTCACTATGGTATAAAAAATGTGTTGATTGGTGAGTACGTGCGTTCTTTATCAGTGGGGGAACACATTTTGGGTTTCTTGCGTGAACCAGCTTGTAAGCAGGGATCCCCTCTGTATACCCATTTGGAGAAAGTATCATACGTCTCATGATTCGCTGGGTATCCGGAATCATCGGTATTATCGAGAACGCGGGAAGTCTTTCTTCGATTGCTTCCACATCATTAATGTATAATCTGTGACCTGTGATCCCTTCATATGCGGCAAAAATCGCCCGTGGAAGGTTTAATGCCACGAACGGGGGAAACGTCCGTCGAGAGCACAACCTTCATGTAGACCGTTGCGTACCAGGGTGGCGATGCCAAACCGCTGCGGCTGATGCATCTAGATACACAAAATACACAATCTACCCATGTGGCGAGGACCCAGCTGTTACACGTGTATGGGGGGATGATGCAAGACGCTTTAAACCAACAGCAAACCGGTGCAAGCTGGCGCGGTCTATACACAGGAAAGCTGCGCCGAAAGCTGCGCCGAAACTACCCAACACAAGCAGCGGCTGGAGATGGAGGATGGAGGAGGCCGTTCAGCGTGTTCGTTGTTCTGTAGGCTCACGACAAAGACAAGACAAGTAACTCAGGGAACCACTGCTCCCATCCATGCCCCCTATGCACACTCCCCCCCCCCCCCCC